ACCTCATTTTCATGATTCAGTGGTTAAAGTTGAGTTTTTGTGTTTTTGTCTTTTTTTCTAATACTATACGCAATAGGTCAACTATATTTGGTGTATGGAAATATTTTACGATGTACATGTCAGTCTAGCAGATTTTATGTGACCTTGACCTCATTTTCACGGTTCATTGCTCAGTGTTAAGTTTTTGTGTTTTGTGTTTTTTTTCTTAAACAATAAGCAAAAGGTCAACTATATTTGGTGTATGGAATGATTGTAAGGTGTATATGTCTATCTGGCAGGTACCATCTGACCTTGACCTCATTTTCATGGTTCATTGGTCAATGTTAAGTTCATGGTTAAGTTTGTTTCTTAGATACTATAAACAATAGGTCAACTATATGTAATGCATAGATTGATTGTAAGGTGAACATGTCTGTCTGGTATGGTTCATCTGACCTTGACCTCATTTTCATGGTTCATTGGGCAATGGGAAGTTTTCCTGATTAAGTTTGTTTCTTAGAAACTATAAGCAAAAGGGCAACTATATTTAGTGTATGGAATGATTGTAAGGTGAACATGTATTTCGTGTTTAGTTTATCTGACTTTGACCTCATTTTCATGGATCATGTTAAGTTTATGTGATACTTGTAGAAAAGCTTTATATTTAGGACTATCAACATAAAATTAATGGTCAATAAAGCAGGCGAGACATTTCAGCGTGTGCACTCTTGTTGTGAATTACCGTTTCACATTCGTTCTCACTCTTTTCAAATAGGACGAGCTGATATGGCAAAAAGTGGTGTTAAAGACGATAGTTTCAAGCAGTGCGGTTAAAGGTCTTCCGTTGCATAGTAACGTTAAATTCGTATTTAAGACCTTAACTTTCATTATAGCTAACGAATACACTGCTTTCTTTTTATATTATAATACATATTAACTACTTTTAGGTTTAAAAGCTATTTGGTTTGTCGGATCTTCAATTGTACATTGGGCACAGAAAAATGCAAAAACAAGATACGAGGGACCAACCATTGGTCTTCAAAGCAGAGGGGCGTACATTCGCTGGTTTTGAAAAAGGGTTATGTTGTGGAATGAAATTTAAACAATTATGTCTTGAAGGACGGACACTGTATTATTCATCATCCTAATATCCGAGCCCGAGAAATGAATGAACTTGTATAGGTTTGACGGAACTCACTTATCAGATATAGGGTACGATATATACTTAAACAACATTCAATTGGGAATTGAAATTTTCCTATCATCGTACAAAAACTTCTAAGGTTTTTTTTTACGGGGGAGGGGGGGGGGGGGTCTTTCTGATGAGTGTGTAAAGACCCACTTACGTGGCAAGATTAAGGGGTTATGATCCTTTCCTGGTTTGTACGTCGGATCATATTAGGTTTTTACTTTTACCGCAGGAAGTTCTGTTGAGACCATCTCATGTCTACCATGAGTGGCCGGTTCTGAATTTGTACCAGTCCGAGCTAAACTGTTTTATGATCTAAAAATTGTTAATCTTCACTCCCATGACAACCAGGAGGTGATGCGAATATGAGCCGACGTATTTGGGGATCATGGCCCTCGTTCTCTTTAGTATTTAACCTTGAGGAATTTGAGCATCCATTGTCACCAATGGTGCACAGACTTGTTAATTGAATCAATTATGTCGGCATTCTGCTATCATGTCAGATCTCGTCATTCGAAGTGAACTGTGGCCGCTATTTTCCACATAAATTATTTTTTTGTTATGCTTTGCCTTAAACTTGATTCTTTAATTAATTAACGACTTACTTCCTAGGAATTTCATTTATGGATTGGTCATAACGGTGTATTTCTTATAATTGGGGCATATTTGATTAATTGTGGTTTAGACATAGAAGGACATAACAGTTTGGTGCAATGGTAGAAAGTGAAGTAGTTTCCTAATTTGAGTATGCATGTAAATCATGTAAACTTTTTGTAAGGCATTACCTTTTTTATATTACAATTCAAATCAATAAATTTAAGAAATTGAAATACAACTTTATTTTATTTCACAGCCGATGCTCCTCTTTACATCAAATACGAGGTAATTACCTAAAATTTAAATTTTTGAACAAAAATAATAAAAACAAATATGTCTTTTGTATGTTATCTAAAAGTATATTTAAACTGTTTTAATTGTTTCGGAATATTTAACATGGTTGACCTTATTAACTGCGAATCCAGTAATCTAAGATTGTGTAAGAGTATAAACTAAAGTTGAAGATTTGGGTTATATTTTACTCTTGAGATTTGATCTTTTTTGTATTGCTTTGATATTTTTCATTTCTAGTCATTTTCAAGTTATGAATATTCACATAATTACATAAGCGGTACCCATTTTACTGCACCAGAAAAATGAACTTATGTTTGTTTTAAAATTCAAATTGTCATCAAGAATAAATGCTGTCACGCTGATTAAATTGCTTCGAGCTGCTTATCGAAATTCTTTGCTTTGAACTGTAAGTAAACAATAAGATAATCCCTTACCAAGAACATGTTGTACATTCATTCTTTACAATTAGGAAACATCAAATCCTACAATTTCATTGGTCGAGAGCCTTTGGCTATATTATAAGTAAATAAAATTCGTCATTCGTGAATGTATCTCGGAAGTTAGCTCTTTTTAACCTATTTTGATTATACAACATTCCTACGACCAAATTAATACATGTCATGTACTTGCTTTTTTCATAATAAAATTGAGAATGGAAATGGGGAATGTGTCAAAGAGACAACAACCCGACCAAAGAGCAGAAAACATCCGAAGGCTACCAATGGGTCTTCAACACAGCGAGAAAATCCCGCACCCGGAATCGGGCTACAGCTGGCCCCTAAACAAACATGTGTACTAGTTTAATGAAAATGGACGTCACACTAAACTCCAAAACATACTAAATGAACTAAAACTAAAAAACATACAAGACTAAAAAAGGCCAGAGGCTCCTGACTTGGGACAGGCGCAAAAATGCGGCGGGGTTAAACATGTTTGTGAGATCTCAACCCTCCCCCTATACCTCTAGCCAATAATATTCATCACATCTTATCCTCACACATTTTAACTAAAATTGTATTTTTTTATCAGATATATATTTCAGCAGGAGCGTTATTTATATAATAAGAAAAACGAAAGAACATTACCAGGAATTAGAAAACATTATTAAGAGGATGATTTTGCTATTGTTTCAAATATAGTTATCTTGATTACTCGATAAATCTGATTTCAGAGAAAGAGGAAAATTGTCCCGTTTGTATATATGAAAAGATTCACATTCGTTTTGTCAATTTTTGCTGGACACCAGAAAAAACAGCTTCAATTATAGCAGTCCGAGCAGAACTAGGAAGAATCCCCTTTGAACATTTGACTTTTTCACAGTCTCTATCTTTCCTAGCAAGACTGGATCCTGAAAATGTTAATCCTTTACTTGAAGAAGCATTTATATTGTCAAAACTGCTGGAATCGCATGCTACTTATTTTTGGTATACATATGCCAAGAATAATTCACCCAACCCACACCTTAAAGATAAAATTAATAATAGTAAGGACTTGAATGAAGTAAGCTCTCTGAATCTCTTGATTAAAAATGAATTTAAAGAAAAGATAAAAAATACTTTTGAAAATATAATATATATAAAATATATATATATATAGCTATGATGAAAATAGTAAACTGTTACTTTATAAAAAATTAAAACTTAGCTTCGAATGACTTTTCTATAAAAATTGCTTCACTTAGTTAGTGACCATGATTTAGAAATTAAATAGAAAATGATTGCTTTTATAAATCCCTAGATAGAAAAGAATATAATAATATGTAAACTGTGCTACTTGCTGGAGGATGAAAAACGCTTCCTCTTTGAATGTAAAATTAACAAAAGGTTAAGGGATAATCTATTTGAAAATTGTTTACCTTCTCATAATTTTACGTATCTTACCAAAGAACAAAAAGTAAAAGAAATGCCAAACCCCTCTATCATAGATAGAACATGTAAAAAATATTGGCTCATATAGTCATTAGAACTGAGCGCAGAAGTCTTATATTTTTTTACCATGTGTTCATTTATTATAGAACTGTTGTTTCTTTGCAATATTATGTTTGTTTTTGTTATGTCAGAAATTAAATATGTTTATCTGATGATAACGATATTATTGTATATAATAATGTTTTAAAATCTATTTTTTACAAATGTATACTGAAAAGGTCAAACTTTAATCTGACTGAATAAGGTGAAGGTCAACAGTCAGCTTTATTGCAACTTGTCAATAATGTGTGAATAGACAACTACTGATTAAGATGATGTTCATTACTTAGACAAGTAAACAACAAACGGGATATATTAGTTTTATTTTTTGTTGATTGTCAAAAAACTATATTAACGTGCAGAAATATGTCCGACAGAAGCTTTAAGCTGCGTATAGCTTTATTTTCAAGACTAAAACGATGTATGAAATATAATTATCGTTATTATTTACATTTGAAAAGATACACCATAAATAACTAATTACATTACATGTATGTTTCATTAGAATCGGTAATTTTCCTTGCTGACAACAATCGCGAGGCACTCCCATAATTTTATTTTCGTATAAAAATACAACAGATATGACTGCACGTACTATCCGTGACAATGTTAATTCAAAGCATAAAAGAACAAACGAAAAGCTTGATATAACTCTTAATTTCATGGTTGTAGAATGAACTATGCATTATAGGAATTGAACGCTTCTTTTTTATAATTTTATAGGGTTGTTAAGTCGTTGATCGTGCGCACATTTTTAATATGAAACGCTTACTTGCTTCATACATTATGTGCTTCAATCAACCCTTTTACACCCTAAATTTAAACGGATCAACCCTTTTACACCCTAAATTTAAACGGATCCCTGCACCCACCCCTAAATCCGCTTCTGGCATGTCATATGTAATAAGGTATTTATGACCTTAAAAGCATTGCATATGGAACAATATATGTTTAAAATACGCAGACAGTTTTACCTGTGATAATCCACTTGTTTGCTGAACAGATGTTTCTATATTACATCTAAATATGTCAATTAATGGAGCAGGTCCTGTTAATACACCAATGCGAATCCTAAAATAAAAATAATATTCTTTTCCATATATTTTCCTCTAATATTACCAGATATGGCATTAGGAATTATATAAAAATAGTATCACATGGAACATGGTATACAATAAGAATATTCTGCAACTGCATAATTAAAATATATAAAGCACAAGAACCGTGAAACATAAACATGAGTATAACGAAACGGATTTAATATACCTCTTTGCTATCACTATTGGTAACCGTTTCAGTCGGTGTCCCTTACGATAATGTACTGTCTTACCTTATATGAGGCATGCCAATGGTAAACTAAACTGCACATTATTTTCAATATTTTATGTGCATCTCCATGTTAACCTTGAAGATGTTACCTTGCCCTCTGAGCTTTTCATATACCATGTGCTTCAGGTTGTATTGTTTTTTCAGTGACAGTAAGATCATGTATCATTAATTCTTTTTACCGCCTCGTTGGTCTCTTGGTAGCGTGGTAGCGTGCTCACTGGATTAGAGGAGGTCGTGAATTTAATCCCCGGCTTGGTCAAACTAAAGACTTAAAAATTGATATTGTTGCTTCTCTGCTAATTACGCATCATTAAGGAATAAGAGCAAAGACTGACCGGCTCTGAGTCAGAATAATGTGTCCATGTAATGTGACACGTCTTCCTGTGGACTGATACCTTGAGAACTAGCACATTCCAAATCCGGCTCGGCGAGTCTTGTTTAGCACAAAGCAGGGTTCATACTCATATCGTATGGGCATGTTATCGTCAAGACAGATTATAGGCATTTAATGTGACGAAGTTTAACATCCATCAATTTTTATAATAGACGGCTTTATAGTGTTTTGGTTCGTTGACGTTCATGATTGTTAAGTGGTATTTAAACTTATTTCTTTTTCGATCTTTTTCAAACTAGTTAATGTTTTACAGTTTATATTTAGAATATCTTTTTTTATATGATTTCATTTTACTGGTTCCAGAATGTAGGAACACCAACTATCGCCATCTTCATTGTATACTTGGTCAAGTTAACATGTAATTTCATAGAAAAACTAAAAATATACGAAGTAAACTATACTTTTTTGTTTCCTACCCTGCTGATACTACTTTTGATACAGTATCCATCCTCAATACAAGCCCATCAGTATCCATTGACAGAAAACTTGGCACATATGGCTGATATTTAAAAGAAAGAGATGTATTACTTTATTTCATATGTAGCATTGATACAATTTTTGCCAAAATTCAAACAATTGCGTGACTATTCAAGCAGTCACAGATAGTTCTTACTTTTCGTGTACGTAAATGTAAAGCAATATATGCTAAAATAATATTTTAATTTTCATTAAAAAAATCAATGTAAGTACTGATAAAGACAATATATCTAAAGAACTTAGTACAGCGTTAAATTGATAATCATTAAAAATACTAACAAGTGTATTCAAAGACAAATAAGTTTACATGGATCGTATCTAAATTTATGGACTCAAAAACAACATTATTGTAAATATAAGGGTGATATCCCGCTTGCAATAAGGTTTAATGTAGTATGTGGAAACGACATCCCTGACTTAGTAATTTACCAGTTATACATAAATTACAACCCTTAATTCTATAATTAAAACAAAAGGAGAGAAACCCTATACAAAAGAAAGCTATATTTTTCGTTTCAATGTCTGTATCAAAACAGTTGTTTTCTGAGCCGTTTCATTTGTTGATATAATCGAGCGTTTGGTTTTGTCATTTTTTATGGAATTCCCCTTATTGAACTTACCTTGGAGTTCAATATTTTTGTTATTACATTTTTTATAGTCCCGCAATACGAATGGACTAGGACGTTTCACACAGTGTCTGTTTTGTTCTTTTTTTGTGTACCTAAGAGTGGACTATTTTAAAGTGTAAACATGCAGTTCTAACATTGATGAGCTGTCAATAATGATTTAGGTATAGCATTGTGGCTTTCTGATTATTTATCTCATTTTATTCATCAGTAAAACCCTGCTACACTTTATCAATAGCAAAACTTACTCTGGATTTCAGATAAAAGTAGGGGTCATCTTCTATAATCAAAAACTTGTATTCCTTAGCAAGTTCATAAATCTCTGTCTTTCTTTCCAGAGTTATACTTGCACCTGTTGGGTTTCCACATGTAGGTACACAGTATAATAGTTTCGGTCCATCTTTACCAGGATGCTGTATAGTGGAAGGGTTCCATCTAGATAATACTTTTCTCAGCTCTGAGGGTATAATACCATGTTTGTCGGTATCTATAGGTATTACCTTAGGCTTAAGGGGACCTAACTAAAATTTATTACAATTCAATATTTAAAAAATACCTTCAATAATATGGGCTATATTCATGCACAATTTTAAAAGATAAACACAAGCCGTTTTTTGTGAAATCATTCAGAATATCTTCACTACATAAGTGTACTCTAGATTTGTGTAACAATTCTTTGGAAATAATTCATATTTATTAAAATCTCAAGATTAAAAAAAAGCGTTAAAATCAGTGAACAAATACATCTTTTCCCGATATGTCATATTTTGACGTCGCGAACAGAAACATTTACGTTAGCGACATTATTTTTCTACCCATGTAACTGTATCGTTTGTCCTTAAACAAAAGAACATTGGTAAGTTAGATGTCGGTTGGAGGAATTTCTACAGGCCAATCCGATGCAAAATGGGTTGCATATTCCTACTTCGGTTCTATTGAGATGAAAAAATTGTCAACTTTATTTGAAGAAGTGTTTTTATGATTTGAAAACTCAACTGATTCATTTGAATATCTCAGAAATAACTCACCAGTGCTTTTGCTCCTGCATAAGAAGGTGATTCCATCAGACAGATGTCATCTTTGCTTACAAGATTTTCCATAACCTGAAAAATAACTTTATATTAATTATTACGTTTTTCCGGTTTTTTTGTTTTTGTTTTTGTTTTTTTATGCTGAAGATAAAAGGATAGTAGCTACGATTTTCATTACATTTTTTTTTAAATTTAAATGCCAAGATTTGTACAAAAAGTAAATTGAGTATAGATTATACCATATAGTTTTTTAATTTCCATTTAGCATTTAGAAAATTTTTACCGAATTACACCTGAAATCAATTTTTATCTACCAGACAAAAATTTGATGTTAAGCCAACCCTATTCATATGACCTATGTTGACCATAACTCGGCAGTCCTCACTGCGCAATCGCACTTTGTCCCTCGGAGGGAAAATATCGAACAGAAGAATGTCTTCGCGGGTAATGATACGTGTATTTACAGTTTTTGGGAGAAAAAGATACAGAAAAGAGGTGCAGACAAGTTGTTTGAAAATAAATAACGGCGAATAGATCGGTCTTTAGAATCCGAGAAAAGACCTGTCACGTAGGCAAAATATCATAGAATTAGCCAACGTTTTGTTGAACTTTTGATTTCTTACCAAATGAGTGAAGCAAATTAAGGGGATATTGGCCAGACGTCACACCAAATCAAAGTTTTGTATAGACAGATGGGCATTTTGAAATAGACAATATTTGTAAAACATCTGTGTGTTTTGATATCCATGGCTGTTGTAAAATGAATATTATCATAAAGACCGAGAGCTCCAAATATTTGTTTAGAACTTATCCGCACCAATGACAGGCCATGCTGTGCTCCATTTGTCACGATGCATTTCATTTTGCCAGGATGTTGGTCGTTATTGTAGGTTGGAGGATTATGTACTTGTCGTTGCAGCTCGTATATCCAATCAAGTAAATCTTTGTACCTGAAAAAGAAAATTTTTTCATGAAGAAGGCAGATTAATATCTATATAAAATTGTATATTGTGTATCTATCGTTATAATATTGTATGTACTTTATATATATGTTATTATTATTTTTGATGACTCTCAGGAAGATTAGTTTTAACTAATGGGATTATCCTCTTGAAATAAAGATTTTTGTAAAAAAAAATTATTTTAACGAAATATTTTTTTTATCTGAGAATGGAGTGTTTTACTTTACGGTAAACAGATAGGTAAAAATACTTATTGCGATTGTTGTTTTGTGTCGGACGCCAATGAGAAGTATAAAATAACAAGCCTGGGGCCAGTTTCACGAAGCTGTCTTAGGATGGTCTTACGACATATCTTAGTCCAAAGTGGTCATAACTTAGGACATCTCTTAAAGTTGGTCATAAAGTTAGGACTACACGAGAGGTGTCTTATAGTGGTATTAGGATAGTCCTAAGTTAAGACATCGTTAACATGAGTTGTAAACAAATATTGCGGCTGTAGTTTTCATGCACCTCAGACGACAACATCAAAACATACGCAGAAATAGAATTTTCCGAGACCCTGACAATCCTTTGGATTACTAAGATGACGCAGAAATAGTAAGAAAATACAGACTATCACGTCCTATGATAATAGATATTTGCAGAATGTTTGAATTTGATCTTTAAAGACCAACGAGGAGATTTCGCGCTTTCCCTGTGTCTTTACAAGTCATGGTTGCTTTGAGATTTTTCGCAACTGGGAATTTTCAGCTCGCCAATGCCGACGTACACAACATTTCAATCTCGAGTGTTTCAAGAATTACCCGTGATGTGACAATGTGTTTGAAAAGAGTATGCAACCATTATATTAAGATGCCAACTGATCGAGCACAGCTGCATAACATGATGGAAGGCTTTTATAGCATTGATGACTTCCCAAATATCGTCAGAGCAATAGACGGGACGCACATTAGGATAAAATCTCCATTAGAAGATGAACATTTATATGTGAACAGAAAAAACTACCACTCTATTAATGTTCAAGATGTTTGTGACTCTAACATGAAATTTCTGAACATTGTAGCTAAATGGCCAGGTGCAACTCACGACGCCTTCATTTGGGCTAATTCCAGCTTAAGTGAAATGCTTGAGGACGGAACAATTGATCATGGATGGCTGATAGGAGATAGTGGGTATCCACTTCGACCATGGCTTCTCACTCCTGTGCTAAACCCAACAACGAGAAATCAACAAAGATACAATGCTTCCCATATAAAGACGAGGAGCGTTGTCGAGTTTTGGAGTTTTAAAATCACGTTTCCGTTGCATAGATGCAAGTGCTGGCACATTGCTTTACAGGCCATTAAAATGCTGTGACATTTTTATTGCTGTGGCTGTTTTACATAATATGTGTATAGCAAATAGAATCCCATTGCCGGCAGACATTGACGGGAATCGCCCAGACCAAGGACACATAGACAGACAACAGTATGTGGGCCATTTGAATGATGGTGCAAATGTAAGGAACAGGTTGATAAATGGAAGATTTGGACATTGAATAAATTGTATCATCTAATTACTTTTTGATATTGTATTTTTTATCATTTCAACTACCAGAGATTTATTAAATCCTCTACTCTTTGTGAAGAAAGTTTATTAATCGTTCAATGCTTAGGTTGACAACTTTGAAAAAAAACAACACTATAGACTCATTAATAATTTAAAGAAATAAAGACTAACAAAAAGGTGTAATATAACATTATGCGAGTTTTATAAAGTTTAAATCTAGGCATCATCAGGTGTGCTCAGTGTTTGTTGGTCTAACACTTGGACTCCCATTTGTGCTAAATTAATGTTCACTTGTGCCAAATATAGTTGGTTTTTCTGTTGTTCAATGTTAAATTGCTGTCTTTCTATATCAAGTCTTTCCGACTCCATAGTCAATCTCTGTTTTTTGACACGAAGCCTTTCTTCTTCTGTTTTTAGTCGTCTCTCTTCGATGGCAATCACTCTCTGTGTTGTTTTGTCCTCAAGTATCTTGATAGATTTCATTGCCGATTTGGCGATTGGTGCCTCTCCTGTCATCCATGAATCCTTGGTGCTCTCTGTCCAGAATGAGCAGCTTGGTTCTGAAATAGAATGAACTATTAATATTCATGGTTTTTACATTGTAAGAAATTGAAAGTAACAGACAAAGAGCAATAGCAATGCAAGTCTGAATGATACAATTAATTTACCGCTGGACGTTAAGCAGCCATTCATCACCATTCATCTTTGTTATACATTTATATTTTAACGAGATGTTGTTAAAACAAATAAGTTATCGTACCACATGTGAAAAAGTGCACATGATGCACTAAGTTTGACATTTTAAACACACGACTAGTTTTTTTTTCCATTGGAACTTTTCCATAATGCGTACTTCAGGTAGTAACTTCGACTGTGTTAACCATAAACATTTGGGCACTGGAATTTGTATTACATATTAATTTAGTAAAAATTGGGTGGTACTAGTGTATACGTTAAACGGTTTAACCGCGCTAAATTTTTTTATATATTTGTCATAAGTCACACGTCATTCTGTGGCCCTTTATAAATTGTTGTTAAATGTGAACCTAAGATAGCTACCATTTGATATTTAGGGGGTGGGGGCTAGGATGAAATTTGAAAAAAGGCAGGCAGGGGCGGATCCAGCCATTTTAAAAAGGGGGTTCCCAACCCAGGATAAAGAGGAGGTTCCAACAATATGTCCCCATTCAAATGCATTGATCGGCAAAAAAGGGAGGGTTCAACCCCCGGGACCCCACCCCCCTGGATCCGCCACTGGCAGGACAGGAGTTTTGAGTAAAAAAAAAGCAGGATGAGCAACTGTGCAAAAAAAATGTAGGATCACAATTTATTTTAAAAAAAAGTCAGGAGAAACTAATAAAAAAGGCAGGACCGAATAGAGTGAAAAATTAAAAAGGCAGGACAGAGATTACATCTAAAAAAAAAAAGGCAGGACAAAATTTTTCATCATCGCCCCCCCCCCCCCCCTAAAAATCAAATGGTAGCTCCCTAAGCGCCGCGTTAACGGTCGTCCCGTAACATATAATTGCGTACATTAATGACATTTTGTATTGCATGGTGAGTTGTCTCATTTGCCCTCCTGGGGTGTATCCAGCCATTTTAAAAAGGGGTTGCAACACGTACATGCAAGTTGTAAATAAAGGGGTGTTTCAACCATATGTATCCATACAAAAGCATTAGGTGTCCAACAAAAGGGGGGGGTCCAACCCTCAGAACTCTCGCCCCTTGGATCCGCCACTGTTATCATACCTCATCTTATCATTTTTATGAAGAAACTTACCGTTTTCCATAGACGAATTTGAACTCCTTCAAGAAATCGGATAGGTAGGGAAAGTGAAGTCCAAGACATTGGGTTCACTTCCATCACCAGATGGTACAGATCCTGTGTCAGTTCCCCCTTCTATGCCTTCTATTGGTGTTTCTCCAATGATACCGACGACTCTATCTTGTAGTGGAGTTAATTCCTCTGGTGGAGGTCCGCAGCCCGTCTTCCGTGCCTCGCGACGGTTATTTGAAGCAGCCTTCTTTACACTGCTCATGTATGTCGTCCACTTCTTCCGTATCTTCTCTACCGTACGTGTATGGTCAGTGTGATTTGTTGCATTAATTGTACTGCATATTTTCTCCCAAATCTTCTTTTTAGCACTATTTGTAATTACTTTTGACAGTTTACTGAATAGAACTGACTTGTTCTTTTCCACGACAACCAGAAGAATTTGAAGCTCTGATTCGGTGAAATTGGGACTCCTTTTCCTGCTCATAACGAAATCTTTTTAGGTTGACGGATTATCAGAATGATTTATCAACAATGAACATTCGATGTATTTATAGCAGGAATGCACGATTTTATCCTTTAACCTTATTATAACCGATACAGTGACAAATTGAATTCAACTCACTTGTGCAAAAAAAAATTGTCATCATTTTCTTCTTTTTTTCTTCTTCATTTTGTATTTGAATTTGTTTATGTATATTGGTGTATTATTCTATACATTACACTTATATTTTTATATTAATTTTGCAAATTATCTAATTATTGGATATTAATCAATACGTTTAGTAATTTATGGGAAATACATACTATATTTACAAGAATTTTCGCATAAATCAATGTTTATATTGTAAATTTTAAAAAACTTGCGACAGGTTTAGGATATCTTTGCTAAGATCATCCTAAGACAGCTTCGAGACGAGGTCTGAGATATGTCATAGGATATTCATGAGAGGATCATAAGACATGTCCTAAGCTATGTCTTACGACAGGTCTTAGAATAGCTTCGTGAAACCGGCCCCTGGTATCTTTGTGGAGTTTTTGCATCACCTATTAAATCGACAATGAATCGGCTCTGGCCTTTATTATAGATTTTGACAATCTAGCATTTTACACCGTTTGATTTTCTTTTTTATGACCTTTGATTGTCTTCCACAGAAAGTATTGACAACAATTCCAAACGTTTGACAGAAAGTGTTCTTTGTCTAGTTTGTGAGTATGCATGTAATATGGTTGTAACAGACCCTTAGAGTTATCAAGTTATCAATTAATTCCGACCTTTTACTAATAAAGATGGGTTCATTCAAATTAAAATGATTGAAAAATAGAAATAATTTTCATCATATCTTGATACATTTGTTGTTTCATGATGTTTGCCGCATGACATTTTCGACGATTCGAATCCGTTGTTTTTTTCAATTTATTATTACTGACACAGGCTGCAGGCTGATATCCGGTTGAAATTAAACAAAAGAAATGGAACTCTTTATAAGAGAAGGTAAAAAAAGGCCAAGATGGTGTATTTGAATTGTTTACATCTGTTTCTATGGGCTATAAAAGTTTAGGATTTTTTTCTTCTTATATACGTGTTTTTACTTGAATTATAGTATGGTACTTCGAGATATTTGTAAACTTTTAAATTAAAGACAAATTTTCACAAAACAGTCGATTGTGGTAGGTACAAATACATGTAGATCTTGTTTAAGTATAAGCATAAATTCCTCCGAAAAAAATTCCAAAGAAAGATGAAAGAAATATTTTTAAAGCATTAATTTAATTTGATAATATTTTATTGCATTAATCAAGCAATAGGATTGGACACAAGTTATTACAACTTATATAAGTCCTCTCCTTACATATACAATACACATATATGATGACAGCAAACACATATATAATATAGCGACAGTTATAGAAAATAAAGGAAGGAGTCACACATTGGCATGGCAACAAAAAAAGCAAATAGGACAGAAAGAAAAAAGAAAGCTGCTGACGTACAACGTTAAAATCTTTTTGACTGTTTAATGAAAT